CCCCCCAAACCCACCAACCAAACAAAAGAATCTGATTGAATAAATGGCCTTACAAGGGGATGAAATTTCCCAAACTAGTCAATATAATGAACCAAATCCCAAGGGGATGAAATTTCCCAAACTAGTCAATATAATGAACCAAATCCCATCTATATCGACAGTTGTATACTTGCTTCTGAAACTAATTTTTGACTCCATTTGAAAGAACTGTAGGTGGGTTATTAAGCACTCGAGACTTTCCAATGAGCATAAGTTTAGCTGCCTTGTCTTCTAATGTTCATAATAGTGAATTTGAAGCTATACTCAGTAAGATCATTGATTGTTTAGACAGTTTTTGACATATTTGAAGCAGTTTCCAATGTCTTGGACGAGATGGTGCTGGATATGGAATGTGTTGGTAGTCTTGTCCTTTAGGCAGGCTAACTTGACTTGCGTGAATTCATCTCTTATGAGAGCTTTTAAAGAGAAAAAAGGTGTTGGGTGGCTGAGGGTTTAATGTGTCGGCTTACCCTCTGTTATGAGTGATTTAGTAACCTACTAACTTGCTATAGTGTTCTATGAGAAATGGCTTGAAGATGTATCCCAACAGGTCATCAGTGTCGATGCAGTGGAGCTTTCCTTTATGAATATTGCCTGTGTGTCACAATAAATGATTGGAGAATTGAGGCAATGTACTATTTCCTTGTGTGCAGATAGCTCGGAATATTACAACCAATGAAATGGCGAATGCTATTAGATATGGGTATCTTCGTGGTCCAGATGGGAGGTTCCGGAATCCTTATAACCATGGATGTCGAAAGAATTGCTCTGATTTCCTTATCAATGGTTACACAAATGATGATGAGATCGCATGGCCACCTCTGCAGCACGTTGCAAGATAGCAGCAAGGGTCTGTGGATGCATATATTTTCCATATGAGCTCTTCAGTGTTTCTAAAAGAATGCGAGGTGCTCAGGTATATTTACATTCACATTGTAAAAAAAGGATCATCCCTCAATATTATAGGAAAATATAATCCCTAACTCTTGCTGCATTGAAATGATACTGTTCTCTGTACATCTTCATGTATCAAATGTTCGAGTGATGAGGAGATTTTTCGACAATTAACGGAAGGAGTGAAAGACGTATTATCAAGGAGAAACTTTACTGTAATTTCATTTCATGTTCTAGTTACTTCCGATTAAGCAGTTATATATTCATTTTCCGTTATTTGAATATTCAACATAATTGTGATTAGTAATTGTATAACACCTCAAATCTAGACTGCCTTGTATTTAAGATTAAAAAGGGTAATTATACTATATTATCTATGAGTCATTAGCAATGAAAAATCAAAACAAGATCCTCCCGCTATTCCAAAAGAACAACACGTATCGTCTGGGATTTTTCAAATATATTTAACTATAAAAACTTTTGATTCATAATAGTTTTACAGTCTCTAATTATATGTTGATCTCTTTTTAAAAGGACAAAAAAAATATAACATCCAAATTCATACTGTAAGCTACCTGCATCGATCCTCGTATTTTAACATTTGCTCATTCTTTATAGGACGGGGAGAGTACAATTGATATGTTATCAAATTAAATCATTTGAATAAACTAGGCACATATCTATCAACTGTAACCAGGGAAAAACGACTAGGATCACCACAATATTTCAGTATATAATAAAATAATACACGCATCATAAGAAATATAATAAATTCAAGTATTTATAAAGGACTGCTGCTATGTCCTATAAGTTTCCAGTCTCCACTTCATAATGTCTGCAGTAGATGAGATCTGCCATGCACAGTTACAGCTACATTAACACGGCCTATTACTCAGATAAGAAAGAACAGAGAACGCACACGCTAGTTTATCAAATGAATCCAGCCGCTAAAACTTCTACTTTCAAGGTTCTCTTTCAGTAGAGAGTGGTACGATGTTCATCTCAAATAATGCCAACATTTTATTTATTTATTTATTTTGATAGTTAAAAGCTCAAAGAAAGAATACAACATACAACTTCAACTTGGACTACTTTTAAATGTCCAAGAGAAAATAAACATGCACAACAAAGGTAATCACAAGACCTTGCTTCACAGCCCATTGAACTGACAAAAAAATCAACTTTGTTGGATACCACTAGGCCATGACTGATTCTTCACTGGTTTCAGAATGTCTGTGATCTCTGATAATGTTTCTTCATCCGTCCCAGTCGTTGCTAGCTCCAGGGCAGCTGCTATATTTTCCTCCACCTTCATGTAAAAGATATATCAGGAATCAGGACACTGAACACAAACATGTGAGTGGACACACAAGAGGACCAACATAAAACCATACAAAAGGGATGCATGGGCTAAGCACTTAGATAAACTGTGCCGGGCATTTGTTGCAAAATTCTGATCCTTGAGCTTTCAGCTCAAAATTCTGTTCACTTAGAAAATCTCATGGTCCTAATCAAAGGGTCATGGTTTTCTACCTAATCCTACTATTTGTTTTCCAATTGTAGTCTGTATAAGAAAGTAAATCCATTTTTCATCCGTCAATGAAGTAATCATTTTGTTTCCTACTCTTTTTTCTTTCAGCAACATAGTTAAGCTAGCCATTCCTTTTTATGAAAAGTGTAATAAACAATATCACTACCTAAAAAAGAAGAAAACACGAGTTCATAAGCTGACATAAGAGTCATAAAATGAAGAATTAGAGGTAGAGGATGTCTATTGAAAAAGATAACCTCTTTAACGGACTTCATTCCCACTAGTACGGATGAAATATCGGTATTTGCTAAACTGTATTGCAAGGCTAATTTTGAGATATTCTTTCCCTTTCCTTTGCAATGATCAACGGCAGCTCGGCAGGCAGCCTGGTGAGCAAAAGTGTGCAGAGACATGCGTTAGTAAGAAAACCAAGAAAACCCAGTTTTATGTTGTTTTCTTTTGGAAAAGATTCAGGAAGAAGCATAGAGAGTGGAGAGAAGAACAACTCCGAGAGAGTGGATACGGCCAAGTACATGTTGAAAACAAGACATCTAACATCATAATTTAGAAGCAGTCCATGGAATTAAAAGTCAATTGCTTGTTCTGAGCTAGATCTTCTGTATGTTTTAATTTCAATAAGCAATATCTTGAAGGAGTTAATTTTTGGTCCGAGTATCACAACTAAACGTTTAAAGCAACCTGCAGTTAATAGCAGATCAGATGGAAAAAAATGATTAGAATGCAGAGATAGTACAGTAACTAATCTAAACTGGGAACTTTTAGCAAATATGCCAAGCTCTTATAGGGGATAATGTTAGTCAAGTGAAAAATGAATAACTGACCTTAAGTTCAGAAGAAGCAGGGTGCCACTCTGGAGCTCCAGCCTCAGTAAGAAGACCCATTGCAAGAGGGGAAGCACTGATCACACCCACACCCTTGCTCTTCAGGTATGGTAACAGATCCTCCAAACTTGAATCGTTGATACTGTAGTGACAATATGACAGGATGACATCAACTGTCCCTGGAGGTACCCGATCAAGCACATAAGTGAATATCCCCAATGGAAGGCCGGTTATACCAATGAAACGGATCTTTCCAGCTTGCTTCAGTTTCTGAAGGGCTGGAAGCGTCTCATTAACAATCTGTTCAAGACATAAGAAAAATGCCACTAAATCTACATATTTCCACAAAAAAAAATTGTGACAAGGCGGGAAAGGGGGGAAAGGAGGGCTATAAATTTTACGTTCAAAACAAAGACTACCTTTTGGATAATGTCACACCAAAAGATAGAATTTTGAAAACCATACATAAAACACTGAGAACATATCATGTAATTTGATATGTAATCAATATAACAAGTTGAGGAAAGATTAGAAGCAATTTATAAGGTCACCAAATCAACTAACGAACCTATGGGACAAACTAATACTCACTTCAATTCGAAGGAAATTTGAAGGAAAAAAGATTCGAAGTACGAGGATCAAAACATTTAAATTCAGCATGAGTCCTCAGTTTTCTAATAATAATAATTACATATTGGAAACTCGTAAAAAGTATTACTCCTGCCAGTAATAATCTTTCTTATTTAATATTAGTGTTAGGAGAAATCATAGGTAAAGAAGACTCCTAGAATATCGTGGAGAAGAATCAAACATAAGTGATCAATAAAACACCTGATCAAGAGATCCAAATTCAATATCGTGACATTGCAAAATATCAACATAATCAAGCTGTAGCCTCTCCAAGCTCTCATCAATACTTTTAGTCACTCTCTCAGCACTGAAATCAAATCCCTCTTTGTACCTCCCACACTTTGTTGACACAATGTACTCATCTCTAGGCGCTCCAAGAGCCTTCAAAGCCTTCCCTAGTACCTTTTCCGATAACGTTCCTCCATAGTACCTGAAAAATAACCAATTTAAATAAATGAAGAAAAATTTCACAGGTTAACATATCAATTTCGAATTCAACAGCAAAATGATTCACGAAGCGGACCAACATTTCAAATCAGCATATGCAGAGATACCTGCTCCTTTGTAAAATTCAAACGTGCAGAGTCAGATCCAAAAATTTAAATCAATAGTGCTATATCCACTATTCATTTATAACATCAATTTTGTAAAATAAAAATATGTTTTTTTGCAAAACAATTTCAACTATATCTGTGAGTTTCTGAAAAGTCTCTAACATGGAAGCTGATATTATATAAAGATATATTTCTTAAAAAAATTCAACTATATACATATATTTGTTCTTTTTTATTTTATTTAACTATATGTGTGAAAGAGTCCAATGTAGTGAGTGCGATATATCTCTTTGCATCTGTTATCAAAGAAAAGAAGAGAAGGAGAGAGATTGAGTACGGGGAAGTATCAAAGAAATTGACGCCGTGACGAAAGGCTTCACGGNTTTGCATCTGTTAACAAATAAAAGAAGAAGAAGGAGAGAGATTGAGTACGGGGAAGTATCAAAGAAATTGACGCCAAGGCGAAAGGCTTCACGCACGGCGGCGAAGGCGTCTTGTTCGGAGACATCGCCGAAGACTTTGCCAAGAGGAGAAGCGCCGAAGCCGACGGAGCTGAGGTTGAGGCCGGTGTTGCCCAGTGGTCGGAGCTGCAATGTCTGAGCTGCCATCTGAGGGGAGTGTTAGGGTTTTGAAATCTGAAAGATTCACTTTCTCCTGAACTGCAGTAGGAAGATGACAAATGTGAGTGGATGAGAGATCTGGTTGTTGATTTTCCGGGAAAAGAAACAGTTGGTGCTGACTCGGAAATTGAAAGGTACACGAAAAGGAATCTTTCCATGTTATGGGCTACTATTGGGCTTTTCTTGGGCAATATAATGGGCCATCTTTGATTGGAATGGACTCTTGGGCCTGCTTGAGATTGAAGGACAAAATGAGCTACTCCTTCTATATAGTGAAAATGGCTTGTTGGGACTTAACTTCCCATTTGGTTAGAATAACTTGTTAAAATTACTAATTTTTTCATTTATTTTTCGAGATAGAAGATTGTATCAAAGCTATTAACTGACTCGAGAAATTGAAAGCTTTTTCTTGAGAAATAAAGCAACAAAGAAAACTAGCTAGAAATCAAGCAAGGAAATGAAACCTCAATAACATATCTCCCAAAACGCGAAGAAATGCTACAAGGCACAAGCAGATGCCATTCAAAATGAGAAAGAATCTTTGTTGTTGTTGTAGGCTACCAATGGGCGGCTATTCATGGGAAAGGTTATGGCTCATCTACGCCGTTCAAAACCGAACTGAACCGAACCGATAACTTATTAGCTTATTGGTCTCGGATTATTGGGGTAATGGATGGTGAACAGATTGAGATTTTATAATTAACGGTTTAACGGTTTGGGGGCGGATTACTCAATTTTCTTATCGGGTAAATCGTTTACCTGTTAAGAATTTTTATATTTATACTTTTACCCCTATGTATATAAAGTACTATTGAAATCCTAAATGGCTAAATCCCTAATTTCTATTTTCTAATTCTCAATTGTCTGCAGCCACCAGAGGCAGAGAAGTCGTCAGTCTCGTCTCTCTCTTGAAATGAAAACTGAAAAGTCGAAAAATCGAAATCTCAATGATTAATATGTGTATGTCTGTATGAGTTGTCTTGATGGTATTAAAATTTTGGTTAATATGTGTATGACAATATGAGTAGTCTTGAAGACTATTCAATTAAAAAATACCATTTGGTTAGATCTTAGATGGTATTAAAAATTTGGTATTGAT